TGAAGCTGTTTATTGACCCATGTCTTGAAGCCTATATATTGTATTGACTACATTGCATTTGATAACTATTTCTAGTTAGCCAAACAAGAAAGACCCATATCTATAGATAACAGATTATCTAGAGAACACTTCAATGAGAAGAAAATATCAGAACCATCATCAGATGTAGAAAGAAGTGCCAAAAGTCACTCGGGTAATACACCAATGTATTGAGATAAATAATCAGACACAAGTCCTATATGGTACATGCGTGATCCTGTTCTACATAAATATGGCTAGAAATTGAAAAACAAGCACTAGATATTTTTGATATTTTTGCCAAATATTTAGATTATAAAATTAAGGTAGTTTATTCAAATTTATGTTTTTATATTCTACAAAAATAGCTATGCTGATAGTTGCAAGGAAAATGTGGAACATGTACATGGATACTGTTTTCTTTTGTTCCTATCTTAATTAATGTGTGTGGTGTGGTGTGGTAGGTAGAATGTCTCTCTGCAGTGACGAGGCAATGCCATGATTGCATGAGTGAATTTCATGTTGTAATATTTGTTTGTTTATTTGCATATGCAATTTATTATTGGAACATTATTTTTATTATCAAGGTTACGTAGCTGCATGTGTGAATAGAATTCAAAATGTAGTAAATTACGCATTTAGAAGACGTCGAGAACAGTCAGAGAATGAGAAGAAAACGGTTGAATGCAAGAAATCTGAGTCAATCTCAAACAGTCAAACTCCATCAGAGTCACAAGAAAGCTTAAATAGTGAGCCAACACCAGTCGGTAAGACCCATTCTACCGGTAGATAAATGAAACAAAAGCACTAAACACCAGATTTGAATTATGGAAAAATAAAACATTACATATAATAATACATATAATAATGAAAATTGCAGTAAGCTTTCAAAAAGTACTATGCTTCTGTTAACAACCAACTAGATAATCTGTCATAGTTTATTATCTAGAACTTAGAAGTATTTTCATGGCTATAGACCATACAATTTAAAGTGTCAATCATTTGTTTTAAATCGGTACAGACATGCAGTTTATCAATTTTTAGTCTTGGTTTGTTGCTTTGAATGCTTTCTTATAGTTATTAATATATTTTACATTTTCCTTCTTCAGATACCATTGAAATAGATAAGGAGTCTGCTGTAAATGACACGACTAATTGGTAATTACAGACTTGACAATATATCTTGAGGGATTTTAAAGCACAAACAAAATTCCCAATCATGTGACTTTAAGTTTCATGTGACTGCAGAAACCTTTAAAAGTGGAAGGGTGATACTATAAAGTTAATTAAGCACTATAAAACTATAATGAACACAGTTCTTTTTGACTGACTGATGGATATATGGTTTTTGAAATATATTCATGTTCTGTTGAAACTATATGGCATTCATCAAACTAATGTTTGATCTGTATCTGCTCAATAAGTGGTTAAATGGCGGTTTCTTTGGTTTTTTCAGTATCATTTCCCTCCATTTCCCATGTTCGTTATAGACAAGGTCATCAACCATTCTTGTGATCATGAAAGGTACTAACGGTTAGTACCTTCCATGCTCTAATAATGATCACAGATAGTGGATTTCTGGTTGCACATACATTTTTGTTTGTTTGTGCATATTGTATACAGTGCCAGATCAAAACTCAGCCTGATCTAACAGAGAATAGTTTGTCTTGTTACTTCTTCTTTTTAGTCATCAACCTGAGACAGTAGCATCCACAGCGGTACCAAGCAGTTTGGACAGCCAAACTTCCACAGCGACTATATATGAAAATGATAGCAATGCCAGCATTTGGGATAGGCCTTCTTGTGAAAAGTATGTAAGATCAATAATAGTTATTTCACAGTGTGGGCTAGCATGTATGATGATAAATACTTCCAGGATGTGGGGAGAAGAAATATGTACTGTATATCTAAAATAGATAAAAAGCTTCTATTTTATCAAAACAAAATACCTTAACTTTGGTAATTTGCTTTAAAAAACAGTCAATTGACATTGATCTTTGTGGTTAGTGCATTGAAACTTGGTACATAGATACCTTGGGATATTGCACAGATCTGATTAGTTTTTGGTTGAAATCTGTGCATATAAATGACCTAATTTGCATATTAATTAGCTAAATTTAAGCATTATCAATTGTTTGTCAAGTGCCATATCAACAGAATTTAATGAAACATGGTAAATATATAGATATACATGTTCAATAAATGCAATCCTGCTTCATGTGTATTGAAGATGTGCTTCAGTATTCCTTATTTGTACTTCATGCCTCCAATAACTTCAAGATACAGGAGTTCATTCTAAGCTTTCTTTGATTAGATGGTTTGCAGTAATCTGAAACTCATTTCCCTTTCATTACTGGTCATTTTAGGTCAATTTTTTACTGTTTTCTATAAAACCCATATGTCATTACAGTGAGAGAAATGAGAATATGTTATAATTCAGTAATGTATGTCTGTGCTTATCTTAGTTCAGTGGAAGAAAGTCTGGAAACCAACCTCTCCTCACAGTGGTTTGCTGGTAAAGGAAGTGTCAAGAATCTTGTATCTAGCTTTGAAGTACAAACAGAAGCGGTAAATGTATAATCATTTGTTACTGTGTTTTATATAACTGTTCTACTTATTTCTCATTATTAGTTTCTGTACTATTGGAAAAATGAGGAAAATGAGAGATTCATAATTTAGTTATACTGTTTTTAGGCTTGGGTTTGCATGAATTTAATTTGAAATAAACTACTATGCACATCATTTTGTTTCATGATTTGATTCAAAATTGTCAACTTGATGTATATCAGTTACTTTCATTTTGTCAACAATAATTCTTTTTTTTATATTTGCAAAGTAATGTTGCAAAGTGCCTCGGTAATTACCTACCGGGTGCGGGAGTCAGGTGTATGTAAATATCTTGCGCCCGCTGTAATAGTCATTGCCATTTTAGTCTGTTAAAATTGTCACCTATCATATTTGTTTGATAGATACAAGGTTATCACAGGAATTATGGATGGCCGACATATATAAAATTGACATGATAACCGCATTATTAATATACATTACTGATAGTTGTACTTAGAATTCAGTGAGAAATAATGTCAAAAAATGACAACTGAAGAGTATTGCATTGTGCAAACTTTTGTATTCTGTGGCAGTATTCTTTTTTCCTATGATAGTGATAATATGTCAATATTCTTAAATGTTATTTAGATCAACTATTGAAAACTTTGAATGTTGAAAATGTGAAAATAAATACATTTTGAACGATTGCAAGAAGATTTTTTTCAATAAATGGTAAGATCTATTGTTTTCAGTGCTAGATGTATAACAATGCAAATGGAGATTGATCAATTTAGTAAACAGGTAGTATGTTGGTCCACATACATTGTAGATAAGAGTTAGTTTGTGTAATGATCTGAATTTGAGTTTGTTACAGGTGACCATTTTATTTGACAAAATTGATATTGATGACTGATGGACTGCTGTTTTGGCTGTTGAAAATCATTAGAGACTGATTTTTTTTTTCAAACTTTGCTTTGTCAAGTGATTGGCGTGTTTCAACAAAGGGTTAACTTTATTCCGAAAATCTATTCACAAATAATGTTGTTATGAATGCCCAACAGGTCGCTTGCTAGTAGTTGTAATAAAACAAACAGTCGTGTTATATCCTAATAATAATTCTTTCTTATACTTATGTCCACAGACAGTAGACAAAAGCCAACCGGGCACGTCAAAATCTCTGCAAGCCCTGTCTAAGAAAACAGTGTCCAGGAAAACATCAACACCCATAACAACATCTGTGTCTTCATCGATTGAAGGCCTATCAACTCAAGCTATGGGAAATCAAGCCTTATCTGAAGAAGATCATTTAAACAATCATATAGCAAGTACAGTGACATCAAAGCAGAGTATAACTGAGGCAGTTAAAACAAGCACTGACAAAGACAAGCTGCAATCTGAGACAGTATCATCTGATCGCCAATATGATGATACTGAGATGACATTGTCACTCCCAGTATGTGATAGTCCTGAGGTGGTGGTACTACAAAACCAGTGTGATGATGAGAAGACAGCAACAACACTGCAGCAATCTAATGCCACAGAGTTATCATCGTCAGAGAAGCCATGTGATAGTAATGTGATAGTAACATCCAATCAACCACCAAATGAAGCAATCGCAGTGCAGGAGGAATGTGATGGTAATGCAGTGCCGTCAGAGCAGCAAGATGATGGTATGGACGCAGTGGAGTCACAGCAACATTTGAAAGGTACGGAGGAAGTATTGTCAGAAATTAATGAAGTAGTATCTGAGCAAAAAGAAAATGATGGTGATGAGAATGATGCAGTACCATCTGAGAAGCAAGATTGTAGTACCAAAGCAGAATCAGAATCAGAGTAACATCTAAAATGTTGTAGTACAGAGTCAGAGAATTGTGATGCAAGATTGTCTGATCAGCATGGTTGTGGTACCGATTGAAGTAGTTAAGTCAAAGCAACCAAGAAGAAGCATTTTGATTTGGCAAAACCATAGCAACAGTATAGCATTAGTTGGTTATTTGTTATTGGTTTATTATATGCATTAGCAAATGGAAAAAGCTGTTGAATAAATTTTAGATATTTTTTCCGTCCTTGTTAATTATATTATGTTCATTGTATATTATGTTCTCAAACACTATATTACAAAACTCACTTCTAGGGTTATCAATATTAGTAGAGATCATACAGGTTATTCCTCCAGTGTGGCTCAATTTTACTGGACGGATACTGATTATGCTGATCCAGTTATAATAAACTGGTGTTCTTGTTTGATTTCTCAGCAAGATTCTCTTTTTGTGATCACTATATTTTACTTCTTCCTGGAGTCAGGAACATCAACTAATTTTAAAGAAAATGCAACCTGGCTGTACTTCACTTGGGAACACTAATCTCTTGTATTACCATTTAAATTGGGTTTAACTTAAAGCAAATCAGTATGATACCAAACACATTTTAGAATATCAAGGTGATGTATCTCTACAAATGCTGTATTTGTTTGCTTCCTCCAATGAGTCTAGTATATCCTCAGTAAGTCCTGTGTACAGAATATTATGATTGTCGTTGCCTATTTCTTTGATAATGATCTCTACATTTCCACTGATATCCTCTAACAAAGTTTGATTGCCATTAACTTCAGTCATGTCATCAATAATATTCAAAAGTTTTGAGAACTGTCGCTGATTAGTTTGTCCATTTTTTGTTCTGTTGTTGAAAACAATACATCGATTGTTACACTCTTTGAGCAGTGTCTTGAAGCAAGATGGTACGCTACAAAGAAATTGTTCCAGAGTTAATTTGTCTTTTTCTAGCACATCTCCTCTAGTAAAGACGATAATAAGAAAGTTGGTGAAAGTGCTACCAAATAATCTGTGAAGAATCTCAATGGCTTGTTCACTTTCCTTCGTTATTCGACTATTTGAATTAATTGTCAAAAGAATTGCATGTATACCCTGCCCAGTTTGGCTTTTAGCTATATCAATACATTTACATATTTCGTACAATGTATGTTCATGCAGGAACTTTGAGCGATTATCAAATAACCCAGGTGTATCGATTATAAGAGTCTCACGATCAGCAACTCTTCTATTCCACTGTACTCTCTCTGTCACTGCTTTCTGGCTCAGCTTACTCTGAAAAGCCTTTCTGCCCAGTAGACTATTTCCCGTTGCACTTTTTCCACTCCCAGTGATTCCCACTAAAACTAAATTCACTTGATTGCCATGCGGAATTGTTGCATCTCTCTGTATGCTAAATATACTCAAACGAGATTTCTTCATGTAAAAGTCCATAGTAGGTAAGTATCTCCATGAAGCCATTGAATTAGCTTCAAAAATCATTCCATGTAGACACCTGTGGATTATCAAAAGTGCAAGTCACTAGCTTTCCAGGTAAGGTGATGAATGGATTGTATGAATGTGCATACATTAGAATTATTGAGAGATGCCCCTCTTCATGTTTCCTAAAAGTATTTCAAGTTTGTTACTCATCTCACACCATCAACACTGTGTTCTCAGGGGTATAATAAATAGTCCATGCCGATAGGGCTGTGAATGGCTTGATCATAATACACAGTCAACAGTCATCCTATTATATAGATGAATATGGCCAAAATAACTACTTGTAGACACATGACACATACAGTTACTCGCTTGAAATACAAATTGAGAATGGTTTTGATAATTCACAAATGATTTATTGAATGCTTTATTTTCTTATTAATAACTTCATACATTTTGCGTATATACACTGCTAAGGTTTATTTACATTGTTCCTCTAAGAAAATTCATTGCATCTGTTTCAATAGGAGGAACTCTCATCTATCCAATCCAACAAAGTTGCAATCAACAACCATTTGATAAATACAACCATGGCAGTTTACTAATCTGCATACCTAGAAACACAGTCCCCAGAAGGACTGTGCGTGAAATAAACACATTTTTACTACAGTTTAACTGACAGATGTTCGAAGTTTGTGGATCCAACAGCATTTATCCAAATCTACTGTGAACAAGCCCTTTAAATACGACGCATTTGGTGAGAATTCGTATTTTGGATATTCTATTTTAAGTGATTAGTACATTAATAATTACGGTGTGCTGTGCAGTAGAGTAAGAATACAACTAGAATTGTTCATATTTAAATGATGTGTTAGTCATCAGTGCGCAAGTTCATTATCGTCCTACGGGATTGATCACACTTGTTAATTTAAATGCAGGAATTACCAGCTGTATGGTGTGCACGACATTCATTAAACAGAACTAAGTATTCCAATGTGAGGCCATATTATTCCGCCGTATTAAAAGAGTATATATATATATTTGCAACTAGCAATGTACAGCAAGAAACGTTATTTGTATATGGAGCGAGTATAACTAGCAGTGCAATGTCAAAGACATAAAAATTATAGTCTGTATAACCTCGTTCGTTTACTAATTTAAAAAAAACTTATGCTTAGCATTAAATCGTTTTAAATTGTATATTCAACTAGTGTGTCATTCCGTCTCTTATATAGTAACGCCCTGGCAGCAATCAGTAAAAGATAAAAGTCGAACTTTCGACCTGGTCGATCGTTGTCCGGTATTTTTACAGGCTGGGCGTGGAATGCAGGTGATTTAACTATCTTGCCTCCCGATAACCTTATTTACAATTGTCCCCATAGTAGACGAAGTGCATGAGATAAAATACGAAAGAACACGGCGGCTATGTTTCTTATAATAATTGCATCGCCATTAGCGATATCCACACACTGCATTTTCACTGCCTCATCGGCATCCCCGTTATATTGATCTCTATCCATTTTCAATATCTCCTTCACACGCTCAGTCAGGTGGTTGTTGAATGGTTTATTGCCATTCTGCTCATTAGTTTTGTCCACCATCTCAATAAGCTTATCGACTTGATCTTGTTTGTCTTGAGTGTTATCTGTGTCATTATCAAATGCCATGACCCGATTACCACAGTCGCGGAAAAGCCGCTTCAGGAACGGCGGCACATCAGACAAGTATTGGTCCAGTGTCATACCTTCCTGGTCAAGCTGGTCTTTCCTGGTAAATAAAACTATCACCCTATTCATAATATTATCCCCGAATACTTGGCGTATGACTTTGATGCCAGCTATATGCTCTTCCGTTAATCGTTCATCCGCATTGAGCGTGAGGACAAGGGCATCTATCCCGTCACCTTGACTCACGGCAATGCCGATACTTTTGCTCACTTCTGTCAACACGTGGGATTGTGAGGAATCATCGCGATTGTCGAACAGTCCCGGAGTGTCGATCACAACGATCTTTCTTTGCCCAAATTGGGACGACGCCCATTGAGTTTTTTCTGTGGCTGAAACTAAAGATCGGGCACTGTGGAAAACTCGTTCTCCAATTATGCTATTTCCGGTGGCACTCTTCCCACTTCCGGTGCGACCAAGTAGAATAATATTCAGCGTATCTCGCCGTGTTTCGGTTTGTGGGGCGGTTTCCGTGGAATCTTGCTCAGAAGTCATGGTTCTGAAAAAGGTGACAGAGTTTACTGCAGAATACTTTCTAAAACACAATAAGTAACTTATGTAACTATGACTTTTCTTTTAAGAGGCACTGTGTTCTCGTGTGACCCACGCCATTGTTGTGCATAGTATGGGACGCATATCAAACACGTCCACCTTAAAGGGCGTGGTCGTCGCGCAGCGCGTGTAAGAAAATGATGTAAACAATGTATTTTACACACGTTGTGTACTTCGCTGTGAGTCCCATTTCGAAAACGATGCGACGCGACGCCCACTACCCTTTAACGATTAGCAACTTTGTCATAAACATCAGGCATGATAAACACTTTGTATATACTGTACATGGACGTACTAACAAAGTACTGTTAGTGCATCCATGGTATATATAAGTTTGTTTCATTTCAGTTTTGTTGTCCGCCGGTCAACGTATGTGGAAAGCTATTTTAGAAACATCGGTTCACATAACTAGGCATATTTGAAGCGGGGGAGTTGTCACCTACGCATGCGTCAGGTGGCCATGGCGTGTCATTGTTTACAAACAAGTGTCTATCCATGAGCCTTTGCGCTCTTAGCGTGTGTTGTCATCATCGCTTGGGACTCAATTCCCGCGCGTGCGCAGGTGACGATCCTCCCGCTTTAACCGTGTGTCGTCTGGTGCAGTTGAGTTCAAAGTCCACTCTTAAAAATCAGGAACAGCGGGCCAGGCGCTGGAAGATAACCTTTTT